CGGGCGCGTGCGCGGCCCCACCCCGCGGCGCGTGCGCATCCCGGGCCGGCGCGCGAGGGGACGGCGGGAGCGGCTGGCAATGGTGCTGGAGACTCTGGCCCGCATCGTCAAGGTCCAGCTGCCCGCGTACCTCAAGCGCCTGCCGCTGCCCGAGAGCGTCGGCGGCTTCATCCGCCTCACAGGTAGGCGGGGGGAGCGGGACCCCCTTCCCGCCGCGGCGGCGCGGTCGGTCCTGCCCGGGATCCGGCTCTCACCCCTCGCTCCAGGCATCGCTCGCTGTCTGCCGGCCGCGTCCCAGAACGGGGAACCCCAAACCCTGAACTGCTGCAGCCGGAGGGTGGCCCGACAGGAGGTGTAGGGGCCGTGTGGGGCAGGGCAGCTGTCAGGATGAAGGGCAGGGACGGAGTAAAACGCTGGCGTCTGAAATTCCTCTGGGAACCAACGAAGAGGCCGTGCGCCGAGATGGACTGGGATTCAGCCGGAGGCCTAAAGCACGGCCTCTTCGTCTTCCTCACAGGTCAAAGACAGCATCTGTACCGAGTTAAACCAAAAAAATCTCTTTCTGAGAACCTGTCACATACATAAAATTAGGGTACTTTTTAAATTTCGTCGTTTTTGTAAGTATTTCCTGCGTGAGGGGTAGAAGCAGCAGTTCATTGATTGTAGCCCTGTGAGAGAGTGAACAAGACAGAAGAGGGAGGAGTGGCCACTGCTGCGGGCGCTCAGTGCTGAGCCCGGGCCCGGCGGTGACTCGGGCGGCCCCGGGCAGTGTCAAGTGACGGGATCGCTTCGGTGACAGAGGGAAGGAACGCTCTCCACAGAAAGTAGAAGTAGAAAAAGTTATCAAAGTGCAGAATCAGCCGTGTATCTTGCAGCACTAACACCACGACTGTAATAGTGTTGGAAAATTGTTAAATTTAGAACAGGCACAGTTTATTTAAAGCCGGCTTTAAGCATTTCTTTTTTTCCAGCATGTTTATGCTGCTTGTGAACTGCAAGTCTCATTATCTTCCTCAGAAACAAGCAAAATCTCTTTTAAATTAACTGTTCTTCTTCCACAAGTACTGTCTCGTATAAAAAAGCTGTTAAAAAGCTGTTTAAAGCTACAAAGTTGGGAGGTAGTGGAGGATAAAACAAACTACAGAACAATGCAACTTCTGCTGTTTCTAGTATTTGGCAGTTTACTACTGAAGCCAATTGCCTTTATAACCACAACTTGACTTCAAATTTCTTAAGCTTAGTACTATTTCAGTATCCTACTGCTTCACTTGTCTAACCATGTCTTTCTGCAATAGGATTTTATTTGTGGACTTTATTCTGTAAAGGATTTTATTTGTGCAGTTTTCTGTACTCATAATGCATAGTAGTAATATGATTTATTCTGAAAACCTCTGGAAGGTTTGGTCTGTAGACCAAAATCAGGGCTTGGGGTTTTTCCCTAGTGTGATCAGCGTGGGAGAACTGTTTTGTTGTCACATTGTTTACCCCATTGACTTCAAGGTACTTCCTCAAATTTGGAGAGAGGACAAGAAGCAGATAACTGATTTCTTAAGTGTAAACCAAACATGTGAAATGTCAGTCCCAAAATTACTAAACTGAAAGTAATAAAATACTTTTACTAAAAGTTAAAGAAGGAGCCAAGTCAGAAACTGCTTTTGAGACCTGGTAGGATTTAATAACCATACCTGAAAAATCCACTGCTTCTAGTTCTTAGTGATTTTTTTGGATGGACTCTAAAAACAGGAGACAAAGGTATATTTAAAAATACATATAGAGAGAACATTTTTACATTTTCAAATTTTTTTTCAATAGTAAGCTAGTCTAGTATCTGCTGCTGTGCTTATACATCTTCCTCCTAGGGTGAATATGAATGAAAATAGAGGGAAAAAACCAAAACTACAGGTGCTTCAAGTTATGGCACAGGGTAAATGCAACAGAGTGAGACTTTTGAGAAGGATATTGTAGGACACTGCATCCTAGGCACCTACATTAAAAAATTACCATCTCTTAGGGCGTAAAGGTTATTGAAAGTCATTGAAACGTCATTGCTCGTTGAAGAGTTGTGTGCTTACTTGCACGCAGAGCTGCTGTCAGTCTTAAGTTTCATTAGAGAAAATGATTGCTCAAGCAAGTGCTGCCTCTTCTGTGTTGCTGTGGTCTTGGTCCTGTCCTAAAGTTACAATTCTCTAAGAGCAGGGGATTCCCAGTCCTGGGGTTATTTTACAGTGAATTATCATTAGGAAAGACTATCAAAAAATAGAGGAAATTAATGTTCCCTTTTATGTTTGCTGCTATTACAAATTACCAAGTATATTCTTTGGCAAATGGCAGACTTTGCTCCTTGTTTGAAAGTGAGAAGTAACATTGGTCTAATAACATTTAAAGTACATTAATTGATTTGCCCTTTGGTGGCATCTATTGAACTTAATGAGGGACCAGCACTATGAAACACTGGGCAACATAGACCTTGTGTGCAAATGCAGGCCAGAATCCAGATTTGGAACAGTGCAGTCTTTTAACTCTTTTATTACTTCTAAACTCTCATTAGCTTGTAGGCAGATGCAATTTCAGTTCCTGTAGTGCATCAGTGGTAGAAAACAACAGAACAAAAGTATATGGAGCATTTTGGGTTTTTTTATAGGATGTTGTATAGTGCGCTGGTTGAAGATCTGGACATGTGTTGTCTGGTGTGACCTTACAAAACCAGAATGAAAAACTGCTTGTTTGAAGAGAAGGACTTAACATCCAGTGCATACCTCCTGAAGTAAAAGCAGTGAGGGAGGAAGGAAAGAATGTGTGACCTTGGGTTTGAAAGTGGATATCTAAATTATCACGCTGTGCTGCTCAGAAGCTTCTTTCACTGTCTTGTCATTGCTTCTTCAGTCTTCCCAAGTTCAGTGAAGTGAACAGTGTTGTCTCATGCCAACATTGCTTTTTGTCCTGGAAGGTGTCATTAAAATGACAGACATTCACCTCAAAATAGCAAACAACCAAAACCAGGATAGATCTGCTTATTACTTCTGAAGATAATGTAATTAGTAAGTACTTCAAATTTGCATGAAGAATGTCATCAGTTTAGAGAATATACAAGCACAGTTCCAGTATTCCTTTTGACTGGTAGTTAATAACTTGTTAAAATTTTGATTTGCAGTTGAGCTGTTACTGTAAGAAGCTGCTTTTGGGTCTGCATAGGGTTATTTCCACAAAAAGTGCTGAAACATAAGTCAAAGATACCAAAGGAGTAGTTGATGCAAGACAAGCAGGGAATACCTGTTTTGATTTAATTCTCAGTGGCTGGTCTGTACCTTTGTTCATAGTGTATGTGTTTCTTTTGGTTTTGGATGTGTTACTGTTGGACTAAAAATTAAGACCACCTCTGCTTGAAAATATCCATTGCCTCAGCTTCTTGGAATTCTCTGGTTTCTGATATTTTCCAGGATTTATCTTTGGGATTAGTCTCTATCTAACACAAGTCTGAAGACTGACCTGTTCCATACACTACTCTTCATTTCTGTCTCCAAAATCTGCCTCTCCCCATGCAGCAGAACTGATAAAGAATCTCCAGAATCAGTGTAATGGCTGAATTCTGAATTGTCAGCTGTGAAAATAAAGTCTTGTGAATTGCTGTACATCTGCTTCTGAAAGGTATGCATGGCTTCAAAACCAGAGCAGTCTACACTTGTAGGAAGGCATTGCATTAGTTTGGATGAAGGGTTTTTCCCATCCCTGCTCATCCAGCCTAAAGATCTCTGACGGTGTCTTGTATCTCATGCCTTAGAACACGATCACATTGATTTTTCAGTTTAAACACAGGAGCTTCATGCAGTCTTTTGGCAATAGCAAGCCAGTTTATGATTAGTGTACACATGAGTGTAACTGGGGGTTTTCCAGAGACTCCCAGACTAGAAGTAAGCCCAGAATTTACTGGCTAGTGAGGACAAAACTATTTATCAGCAGTTATCTTGGTACAAATATTAAATAATAACCATCCTAAACAACAGCCGTGTACATCCTATTCGTGTTTATTTCTAATTTCCTTTCTCAGAGGTTACAGCTATCATGTTCCTCTTTCACTTGTGTGAACCCAGCTGGCTGTAAGCCATTCATAGACATGACCACTGCTCTGATTTTAATGCTGTATCAGAGTGTGAGATGTGTCCTTTTTGTGTGTCAATCTTAGCCGAGTTATATTCACCACACACTTGACAGATGCCCATGTCCTGGTGTGCCTCTTGGAATGTCTGTTCTGTCTTGCAGTTCAGAGGAGTAGCTTTGTAGAGATCCACATTTTTGCCAACAGTCAGGTTAAATACAAAGTTTGGAAGTTTTTTTCAGTGACCAAATATTTTTCCTCTCTTTTGAAATACATTCCAAGTCAGTCTTTCAGATATGGTCAGAAAGTGTATTTGGATTCCTGATGGAATTGATGGAGTGTTCTGGAAAAGTAATGATAGAAAAGGCAAACAGGCAGTGCTGTCCAGGAAACGCAGGATTCTGTGTAGCTGAAAACATTTAAGTCTCTCAGTGTTAATTATTATTTGGGACTTGCAGCTTGTTGGAGGAACTAAGGAAAGAGCTCCAGAGATTAATGCATTGCAGTGAGTGTTAGTGAATGTGGTGGATTGTGATTTGTGGGGACTGCTGCAGGTGCAGTTGGGGGGTGACTGCTGAGACTTCTTGCAGTGCCTTTAGCATTTATGCAGCTGTGATGCATTGCCAGATAAATGCACTAAATGTGGCTGTCACATCAAAAGCAACAAATAAGAAAAAATTAATCCCACAAATTATTTTCATGACGTGGTCTGGTTCCAGAAAATTCAAATTCTGAAGAAAAATCCACTGGATTCTAACTGGAGAAGTATTAGCATAAACACGTGTTTTACTAGTACAAATAAAATCAAGCTATACAGAATAATGTATTTTTTCAGGACTACTGCCCACCTGGCAGCCTTAGCCTGGTCTCATATGTTTTCTTTCTTGTATATCTGAATTTCAAAAAACAAATTGTAGAACAAGATCTTGCTATATTCTAATCATAAATAATTTAGAAGAGTAAGTAGATTAGTGTCTTGTCTTAAAAAGTGCTTGTGCAGATATTTGTGTTCCAGCTTCTTATACTTTTTTCTTTCTCTTCTAAAACATTTTTAAACTCTCTAAATGAGTGTTTAGATTTAATATATTCTCCAGAAATTTAGAAAAATGCTTTCAACCTTTTGTGCACCATGGTTTTAAATTGCACTGGAGTATTGTCACAGCATGTTTTGCTGGAAAAGTAGATCCACCTTATATATTTTATATATAAATATAAAGAAAATATGTATAAAGAAAATAGAAATATAATATATACATAAATGCCAATTATTGATGCATTTCTTAAGGAGTCCAGTAAGTCTTCTCTTACCAGCATGCCTAGAAGATTAATAATGACCGTAGCAGGGCAGCCACATCTGCAGTGGATACTTTTTTTTTAACCTGTACTTGAAAGAAGTTTCTTACCTTGGTAAAAAGCAATTTTCTGTGACTTGACCTACTGATCTTGGGTTTCATTCTTTCTCTGTGTTGTAGAAACTGGTTGCAGATCTCTGAGCAAACACAGGTGTGAAAAATAAAGCCAAAGAGATTGGTGAAGGTTTTGCCAGTACTTTAGGGTTGCCCATTTCAATAAATCTTCTATATGTTTTATATTCTTCCATTGAATCATCTTCTAGAGTGATAAAATTCAGTTTCAGATTAAATTCTAGGAGTCAGATTTTTACTTTGGCTGGAGTAAATCCTAGGACTTAATCTAGGTCTTCTTTTTTTTTCCTTGAGACTCACCAGTGGAATCTTGTTTGCCCTGAGGGCCCTGCTGACTGAGCAGCCCAGTTTCATACCCTCAGCCTAAGCCATGTGAAAGTAGCTGATGCTGCACCATGCTGGAGCGGTGCCAAAACCCAGCCTAAATCCCACCTTATCTCTAGTTTCAGAATGGCTGCGGTTACTGCCTTTCCTGGGCGTGCTGGCCTTGCTCGGTTACCTCGCTGTGCGTCCCTTCCTCCCCAAGAAGAAACAGCAGAAGGATAGCTTGATTAACCTCAAAATCCAGAAGGAAAATCCCAAAGTAGTGAATGAGATCAACATTGAAGATCTGTGCCTCACTAAAGCTTACTGCAGGTGTTGGCGTTCAAAGACGGTAAGACATTGTGCTACTGCAGGATTAGAGATTGAAACTTGTGTATTTTTATCAGTGCTTTGGTGGTGGATTGCCCTGTCTTGAGCTGTTGCCTTTGTCTGGAATTAGAACATGCTCCTCTACTTTGTGGAATGGCACAAACCCGTCTACATGAAGAAAGCAACTGTAGAAACTTGAAACACAGTAGGGTTTCTCTAGAAATGCTTAGAGAGTGACCACATGTGAGTAAGAATAAAACCAAGCAAACCTGTTTTACTATTTGGAAATACATTGCAACTAATTAAGAGATAACTACTCTTATTTTTCAAAAAACAATGCTTAGAAAGTTGTTCATACTAACCACAAAATAAGGCTGGGCCTGTGTTGGTGATTCCCAGCTGGTCCAGAGCAGTGAGAGGACTGGATGGGATATTCTATATCCCCCACATCAACTAGATGTAAATAAGTGTATTTCATCTTGCCTCAATTTTCATTTCCTGATTCAATTTTCAGTGTCCTGACTACAGTCTGATTTTGTTTTCCCTGGACCAAATGCTTTCATTTTTTAATAAAAACAAAAAAGTCTGCCCTGAACTGGAGAAGCTTACTCAGCTATTCTCACTTTGGACTAATCACTTCAGCCAAGTATTTCAGCTTCTCTTAAAAAAGTACTTTCTGGTTGTAAATGACTAAATCTATTAAGAGCACTCTTAATAGTTGCACAGTGAATCTATTTGTAGCTGTGATGGCTGTTTTGTTTGCTGTTCTTTCATGGAAAAGGCTTTGTCCCTGACTTTGTGGCTAAGAACAGCTATTTTAGGATCTCACAAACTTAGTTACCCATTAACTGTGTTTGTTGTCCTGTGTCTGATAGGAACAGGGAGTTTGACATTGAACCAGGACATCACAGGAGGAACTAGTAACATTAACAGAGCACTCAGGGTGTAGGAAGAAATACACAGATCACCATGCAACTGCTGTACAGAATTATGCTAATTCCTTGTGTTTGTTTTTTTTTTCCCAGTTCCCTGTCTGTGATGGCTCCCACAACAAGCACAATGAATTAACAGGAGATAATGTAGGTCCACTAATACTGAAGAAGAAAGAAGTATAGCAGATGCTTAATCTAGGTTGTAACTGATAAAAAGTCTTTTATACTGTTGTAGTTGCAAGGAACAGCGTTTTGTTATGTGATTGGTATGATTTAGTTTGATGATTGCTGTAGATTTCTTTTTGGAATAAACTGCATTTAGACAGTGATGAATTTGTCACTGTTTTGGTACCTTATTCTGAGAAGAATTTTGCCTGCTTTGTAAAACTGTAAAGTACCTATCTCTGTAAATAAGTCGTTTATTTCAATAATAAATTGACTTTCTACAACTAAGCCTTTTTTGTATAAACATGCAATTATAAAACTGTCACTATTTCAAGTGCACTTTTCTGTTGAGTTTGTTCTGCTGAGAAGTCATGTTTTACTTTGCTTTTCAGCAACAAATTTAAATGTACTCAAGTGGGGGAGAAAAGGTACCAGCTTTCTCCTTTGTGAATGTATCTTCAGGCAGCAGATCAGTGTTAAGTCGTGGCATCTGAAGGTCTGGCTTGCGTGGTGCCTGAGTGGGCAGTTTGTTGGTCTTAAACAAAACAGCCCAGCTCAGACAAACCCCACACTGCTGGAAAGCTTCACACAGCATCCCAGGTGGAATGCTGGCAGTTCCAGGCCACGTATAAACCAAACTGTTGAGCAGGTCACCCACCACCATTAGCCCTGTGTTTTGGGCCCTGTGTTGATGGTAAGGAAACACAGATTTGCCTCCTGCTAGTTCCCTTGCACCACAGTCACTACTTTTTGTAATGGGAATTTTCAAGGGATGAATGGGTTAAGAGACAGAACTGAGGATGCAGAGCTGAGCTGTTCTCTTGGCTTGTTACCCATTCAGAATTATTATGTAGGCAAGTCAGAACGTTGCTGTGCTGAGGCTTAAGTTCAGATGCAGATAATTACTACTTGCCTAACTGCTAGATTTCTAATTAATTATTCTGAAGTGCTTAATTCTCCCATGAAATAGTGTATCCATCAGTTTAAAAATAAAAATTTGATCTATGCCACAGTTTTAGACAATGATACCATGACAGATCTCACCCATTCCTTAACAGCATTTCATTTGACCCATTGTTAGGTGGGAAGCCCCAGAGCTGTTGCTAGAGCTGATCACCACAGTGCTGAAACAGAAAGCTGTTCTCACACGTAAGGGCTCTTGCAGCAGCAGCAGCAGAGTTAAGGTAGATCATTCCTCCTCCATTTGTGACAGTTGCAGTTCTAGGTTCCAAAACCTCTTGCCTTGCAGCAAAAGGTGGCAGATTAGGATGTGACTGTGCATTAAATGCCTGCTTTTACAAAGTGTGTAACAGAACCACGGTGTAATGTTTATTGTTTAAATGCTTCACAGTGGTCTTACCTCAATACATTTATGGTTTGCTCATCCATTAGGATATAAACATGTTTAACAGAGAAAAATATATAAAGGTAAGTGTCTTTTACTGTTTTCACTTACAGATGTATATAGAATACCAATCCCCAATTCTTGGGTTTGGTGAAGAAATTACTGTGAAATGTAAAGCCCTGTCTTTGACTTTTTTTTTCAGGGTTTAAAAACCACAGTCTACTGTAGCAGACTTATTAGACACAGGCCTTTATGTGCTTCCAGCTTTTATCAGGATACTTCTGTATTCACACAGTCTGGTTTCCTCTGAAATCACAACCAAACCTGTTAAATTAAGAGAAACCTTATTCAAGTGAGTAATACAGCAAAATGGTTTTGTTTCTCCCAAAAAACTCCTTGAAGAGAAGAGCAGTGTAAGGTTTAACCTCTTCATTCCATCTTTAACACAGCTTGATTAAGTAATTTTTTTTTTCTTCCTACGTGCTCTTAGATGAGATAGTTTAACAGCAATATACAAACATGGCTATAGGATAAACAGGGACAGTTTTTTTGTTTGTGCTTATATCTGTAAGGGCATGGAACAAAGTTGTAGTGTTCCAAGAGCAAGTCAGAGTTCTTTTGTAGAAAGGACATTTTAGTAATCTCCACAAGATAATACAATGAGAATCACAAGCAAGATAAATCATCATTTCCTTGGATTTCAAAATCTGTCAAGGTAATACTGTCTCATGTCCACAGAACTTCCTATAGAAAATCTCAAAGAATTTACTGAACTGTTCTATCTAAAGTCTACAGAGATAGCTAAAGTGCCTGTACAGCTCTGTATCTCACCAGCAACTGACAAGCTGAACCAATTACCTGACTTTTCTAATCTAATTGGGAAGCTCCATACACAGGAATAAATTTGCTGTAAAGACCAGAACTGAGGTCATAGGACCAGGTCTTCAGTCTTGGTGGAAAATCTGGGGAAATTGAAATCAGCATTTTGTGACACCTATTTACTCTACAAGAACAGCAATGTTTTCCTTTCTTTTCATAATTAATTTGAACATGGTTATAATAGAATACAAATAAACTTGTAAAGCAGGTTTAGAGAAAGGTGTCTGATTTGGGGCAACTACTAGACAAAGTAAATATAATTGAAGTGCAATTGACCAAAAATGTGATCTCTTGCACTCTTTTATTTAAAAAGCAAGATACAGAAACTTTTTGTGTCATCCATTTTGTGGCTCTATTACACCATGACACTTTCACAGTTAATTTTAGACTTCAGTTTAAATTGCATAAAAAGCTCGGTTTGGCTGAAAAATGGAGAGTAAGCAGTGATTATAATCACATCATCATCACCACATCCCCTGGCTTGTTTGACTCCCTGCTTGCAGAAAGACAATTTCTGTCCTTTCCCATATGCTGCCTGCTGTAACTGCCAGATGCTGGCTGCTGGGAACACTTTCTGCTGGCAGACCTTTCTGCTGCAGAGGTTCTTGTGAACCTCCTGGAACAGCACGCTCAGACTTCCCCCACACTATGCCTGTGATTATGTCTGCATGACAGCGGGACTCTGCTTATCAGTTACTGCACATTGTGCTCTTACTTTATTTCCTGCAAATAAGGGAATACCATGGCATAATGATTTAACTGGCTTGAATTTATGCCTTATTCAGTAATGATTTTCAAGGCATTTTGTTAAAAGGAAGGTGATCTTTAATGTCACGCTTCACCCGTACTCTGATAAAAACTGAAATCTAATCTCTCAAAGTTAGTTGCCATTCAAAAGCAGCTGAAACTGTCATGATACTTAATAAAAAACCCTAGTGTCTTAAGTTCTTAGTCCTGATAGATCATTTAACAAAAAGATGCAAGTGTTTTCTTTATGGAAGAGAAGGAGAGGGAACATTATAAAGCATTAAAGCTTTTAATTTTAGATCTGCAGGTCTATGTAATAGCTTCAACCTGATACTTTCTGAAGATTTAATGAAAGCTGGGAGAAAGGGGTCTCATGAGAAATACTGACATAAAATAGCAGAAAGGGAAAGAAAAATCTATTCAATCTCAGATTAACAAAAAAGATGACAAGTTTTCATTTTTGGTGTAGCTTATTCAGGCACTCAGAATTGTGGAAGTGATATAACATATAACAGAGTGCACTGAGGTTAAAGGAACAGGTAAACCCCATTTATGACACGCTGTTTTGCTGGGGAGGCAGTATTAGAGGCTATCACAAACAAGAGCTCTTCATCAAAGGTTTGCTTTCGTACTTAAGGTTGTGTCCAAATTTAAAGGGCTGTAATCCTTGAAACATCACACTTCTGTTATTGAACACATTCCAAATTTGGCATAGTGATCCCTGTGGGAAGATTATACTTTTTATAAAGCTCTACAAAAAAGTGAACTCCTGTTAGTTTTACTCAAGTAGAACTATTTTATAGACAGTTACTGATGAACTGAACACTATTTCTTCACCTTGTGAGTTAGCTTTACCAACATTACAATTTTCAATTACTTAACCTCCTATTAAAACTACACGCATTTCACAAAATCATAGAATCAGTGAGGTTGGAAAAGCCCTCTGAGATCACTGAATCCAACCTATGACCACCATGTCAACCAGACCATGACTCTCAGTGCCATGTCCAGTCTTCAATTAAAATGATTCCACCACCTTCCTAGGCAGTCCATTCCACTGTTTAACAACCCCTTCTGTGAAGAAATTCCTCCCAATGTCCAACTTAAAACTCCTCTAGTAAAGCTTATGACTCTGTCCTCTCATCCTGTCACTGGCTGTGTGTGAGAAGAGGCCAATCCCCACCTGGCTGCACCCCCCTGCCAGGGCGTTGCAGAGCAGTGAGGTGCCCCCCGAGCTGAACACCCCCAGCTCTCTCAGCCGCTCCTCACAGGACTTGTGCTCCAGACCCTTCCCCAGCTCCGCTGCCCTTCTCTGGACACGCTCCAGCACCTCAATGTCCTCCCTGTAGTGAGGGGCCCAGGACAGGACACAGCTCTCGAGGTGTGGCCTCACCAGTGCCCAGTACAGGGGACAATCACTGCTCCTGCTGGCCACACCATTGCTGATCCAGGCCAGGATGCCCTTGGCCTTCTTGGCCCCCTGGGCTCGCCCTGGCTCACGTTCAGCTGCTGTCACCAGCACCCCCAGGTCCTTTTCCACCGGGCAGCTTCCCAGCCACTCTGTCCCTGCCTGTGGCACTGCCTGGGGCTGCTGTGACCCAAGGCAGGACTCAGCACTTGGCCCTGTTGAACCTCATTCTGTTGGTCTTAGCCCATTGATCCAGCCAGTCCAGATCCCCTGCAGAGACTTCCTGCTTTCCAGCAGATCAACACTGCCACCCAACTTTGTGTTGTCCATGAATTTAGGGGCAGTGCACTTAATCCCCTTATCCAGATCATCAGTAAAGATACTGAACAGGACTGGGCCAGGAGGACACTAGGAGTGCACCTGAAGTAGGCAGGACAGGCACAGAAGGCCAGGTATGTCACAATAATGACCACACACAGCACTCTTAACCATTGCTCCAGCATCAAACCCATCATGTGCAGTTTGAAAGCATCTTCCTTTCGGGTCAGGAGACAAACTTGAACTGAACTAAAGATGGTACATTCCCAAGGAAGCAGAAAGAACAGCAGTGTGCACAGTTAAGAGAAATATAATGTACCTGACAACTGTTAACAGAAAACTTACCAAAGAATTTCCTGATATTTTTACCATTGTGCCGGAACTGCAGGCTAGGAAATTTAAATATTTCCTCAGGAAGCTCTCTTTTTGCTTAGAGAGTAAGGCTTATACAAAGGCATATATGTACAGCTACATATACAGCTCATTTGTATGGCATATGACTCTCTGGAAATAGTACAGTGTCAACATTAGAAGAATTTAAGTAGTTAAAAGTGTTTTTGTACATATTTTGTTTTGAATATTAAACATTTAAAATGTAAAATACAGATGATTCATTCTTACTAATGCCAAAATCTAGACACTATCAAATGTATTCTACACAGTATCCTGTAAAATGAGTTCAGTGAACTGTAGAGTAGAAATCTGCAGGAGTGTTGTCCACCTCAGTTACAGGCACAATCTAATAGCCTTTCCAAAAAAATAACAAAGTAACTTCCAGTTTCTGATGGATGCTGTACTGACCATGTGCCTCAGAATAGAGTTACCAACAACTTACTTGGAGCCAGACAGATTTGCTGGTATCTGTCAAGTGATACCAAACCTAAAAGGCAAGCGCAAGATTTTGATCAACAGAGGTTACTCCTGGCTATAGAACAGCTTCTCTCTCTTGACATCCTGTGGTGTGAAGGCTGAGGTGCTCAGGTGAAGAAGCAGCCATCCCAATCCCATACAACCCTCCCCCAGTCCTTACAGCCATCCCACAGCCCTCATCTCATTTTCAGGTTCCATCTGTTTTTCTGCTGGCACCAACATCTTTATTACCAGTCGATGACAGCCCCAACTGTGTCTTTGAGCATGTAAGTACCACTTGCTGTACGACCAGAGCTGACAGTCCTTGAAGGCACAAAGGAGTGCTTCAGCTGTGAGGGAGAACAGCAACAGGGAAAGGCAAGTTTTGGAACACAAATGAGGAAGGAGAGGGAATCACCAACTGATCAATCATCCATCATCAACCAGCTGATGGCAGGACTTGTTCACTATGTGTCAGCAACCTCTAACTTTGAAGTTGCTTTCTTTGAGTTGTATAACTTGTCATCTCATAGCCCAGTTTCAACCATCAAGAAGTTATTCACATTAGTCTCCATTTTTTTCTGCTTATATTCTGCCTCATGACTCCATGCCTTAACAGTTCTGACCCTCTCCTTGGCCTCACCACCCACACATTTCAAGTAACTCTTGACTGCTAACTTCTCAGTGACTCACTGCCAGGTCATCTTATTCACTGTATGTTCAGCTATTTCATCTCAAGGCACCATCATCACATAAAAATATTTTATAGAACTCCACCAGGGCTGCTTTAAAAATAGCAGGGGTGACTGATAGTTCTAGGTTCCTCCAGCAAGATTAGACATGCCAGATTTACACAACAGAAGTGTAAGGGTTGAAGGACCAGAGTGCTGTAGTTGTCTGTCTTACGAAGGTTCACAGGCCTCTGCCTCTTCTCCAACCTCCGCACCTTCCTCATCCTCCTTGCTATTTGTCTGAGCCTTCTGCAGAAGTCTGGGCCCTGCCAAGCCGATAACCAGGGCTCCAATTGGAGCAGTGATCAAGATGGCCAAGAAAGCTACTGTCAGTACATCCATTCCATACTTTTCCAGTTGTTCATCTTGATGTCGTCTTGCTGTATCCAGGGCAAGAGAACCTATTGCAGCCTGCAGGGAAGAAAACATTGCTGAGATGGAGCAAGGAAGCTTTGGCACTGAATGAGGAAAAATGGGAACATATCATGAGTCAACAATTCACATGAATTTGACACTTTTAGTACATTCAGCCTGTTTGTTTTAGGCTGTACATAGCAAAGTAAACATTATATTACACCTGAGAGAACAATTTTCACTTGACTATGCTTGGAATTTCCTAAGCTAATGAGTTTATCTGTGTGGTTTCCTCCTGTGAAGAACATTGCTTAGCTGCCATTTTATCCTCATTTCTGGACAATGTGAAATTAATGAAATAGGCCAGTATATTGTGTATTGCAGTTGTGAAAATGCCACACTTGGAGAACATATCTTGGCAATAGTCAACTAGTGGCAGCTTCTGAAAATTTAATTCACTGATCATGTAATAAGCCTTGCCTGTTTTGATTAGCAACTTTTGTTTGCAAGTAATCATGCTACTGAGGCAAAGTCTAAATGACTTGACAATCACTGAAACAAAGGAGTAGGAATGTAGCCAGCCTGTGGCAACTCTACTAATGTGGCTCTCAGACTACTCCTTACCAAAAAAATCACAAACTGAAACCCATTCCGAGTTTGGATGTGACTGTCCTTGCAGACACTTCATGTGTAAGAGGGAAATGCTTTTACATTTGGGAGTTCTCAGAATTTGTATGTAAAGGCACAATAATCAGCAATGGCTGAGAAATGGTTAAATTTCCTATGGTATATGTATGTATAATTCACTGTCATTACTAAGAGTAAATCCTGGATGCAAGCAAAATGCCTGCACATATAAAGTTCTCCACACACTTTTTAAGCAGTTAAGAGTGTTTTAGAGTATGAACAGTCAATATTCTGCATTTAGCTGTCACTGAGCCTGAACCTTTCCCTGCTTACCACTCTGCTAGTTACAGGGAGCTGTGCTGAAGAAAATAGATTTAGCTTGGAATGAAAGTGATGTTGGATTGTTTACCTGGACAGTGGCTTTGGGAATCCATGCCAGTGAGACAAATACCTTCTCCTTGAAATTAAACCCAGCAAAAGACACCATCAGGAACGTTGCTATGATTCGCACAACTAGGGCAATGCCTAATATAGCAACACAGAGCCCTGCAACAGACAAACACTTCTCAGTAATTTTGTGCAGAGGTGCTTCTGGTTGTTTGATTTTTTTTTTGGGGGGGGGGGGGGGGGGGGGGGGTAATGCTCCCCGCACCAGCCATAGTCTGCTTTGTTTTAGATTTCTTTACAGAGATTCTTTCAAAGCCAGTAATAAAGGCTGGATAATTTGTGAATGATCTTACCAACAGTTTCAGGCCTAAGAGATGTAATGGATACTTCTGCTCCAATTAAACCAAAAAGAAAAGGTTGAAAGATATTCCATGCAACTGCCACAATTTTTTCAATTTCCCTCTGCAATAGAAACAAAACTAATCTGTAAATTCACAAAAAGATGGCCAAGCAGACCACAACAGTTAAGTAATCATAGGACAAAGTGAAAATGTTTCATAAACATTGTTCAGAATTGCTCCTCTTCCTTTGACCTAATACTTTCAAAATCAGCTACACACCTTTTGAAGGTCAGACTGACTCTAGCTGTCCTAGTAAATAAATACTTGATGTCTTGAGAGGAGAAATAAAAAGCACTGGTGTTTGAAGAGTAACAGAGCAGTTTGCAGACAAGAGAAGGAAAATAAAGCATTGTTGATTTTCAGTATTTAGAAAGATGTCATTTCAACACCTTTGCCATGATGTTTCTGAGCCTTTGGGAACTGCATGCCGAAACATGTTCTCCTATTTGTAGCTGAGCAGAGTCAGACTCTCCCAAGTTTCAGACATGACCTAACTCTGTTCGTGTTGCACTCAGTCAGAGGCCTCTCACCATGTCAGCAGGAGCAAAGTCAGTCTGAGCAAGTCTGAAGTCACAGAGCAGGAAGAAGTGCTGAACTTCCCACTGCAATATAGTGTATAAAGGCAAAACCATCTTTTCTCCTCACGTTTGAACTTTACACAATTTTCCTAAAATAACTGCTGCCACGGTAAACAGGAATCTTCCACTTACATGACAAGGTACACAGAGCATATCAAATACCACTTGTCTTTTAATTAAGTGGGTTCTGAAATAGCAAATGAACCTTCAGATAGGAGTGCTGGAAAATCTAAGTGCAGTGCTGTGTCACTTAAAAATGAATCCAGGGCCTAGACCATGTTCCATCCTTGGTATTCTCTTTGGGACTGATCCTGCAACACCTCTTGCTCTTCTGTCAAGGAATGGTAGGTTACAGTAACACAAAAACTTCTGTAACCTTGAAGAAAATGGGATGGATATATATATATGTGTGTGTGTGTGTGTATATATATAAACATTTTTTACCTCATTTCTTCTTGTTATTTCACCCTTTTCAGTTCTGTCAAAATAAAAATAAATTAAAAAAAAAAAAAAAAGCCCCAGAAATCTCCTCTTTATGGATTTCAGCCTATTTACTGCCCATATGACTGTTCCAGGAATAGATCTAATGATCTAATGTTCATTGTTCTCTGCAGACAGTGTTTGTCAAGTGCCTTCCACCACGGAAAGTGGGAGGTAGTGGCCTTTGAGAAGCTCAGCAGGAAAACCTTGGTAATATATTGGGTACACAGACACCTCTATCTCTATCTGAGAAAAAGAGCTAAGGCATTTGACATCAATATACTTAAGGTCATGAAGCTTCATTCACAGATCAAAAGAATTTAAACTAAGCCTTTATACACTGCATATACTCTTTTAAGGTCCTTCCTCCTATAATGATTTAAAAGCTTTTCAGTAGAGAGCTTTATCAGCTGCAATGTCCTTAACTAAGGACTAACTTAAGTCCCAAGAAGAGTTTTTCATCCTTTAAAATTTGACAATCTTAGTTTCTTTTCATTGTCATAACAAACGTTGGTATCTTTGTAAGTCAGGGTCAAGATAGGGATAATAACATGGACTCTACCATATCTAACCCCCTTTCCTTTTTCTTCCCCTTCTACTGAATGTCACAAAGCTATAGCTATGGAGAGAAAGATGCCCTCAAAACATTAAATACAGATGGTATCAAGCAAAAGAGGCAGTACAGAAATGCAGTGGGGCAGCAGCAGTAAGATGAACTAGGCTAGTATCTAAGAGAAAGTGACTAAAAAGCAGTCTTTTGTATGGTTTTTATATGGCCTCACATAATTTATTGTGTGCACTCTGCTCTCTAGCTTATCTAAATTACACTGGCTGGGATTTGGGAAAGATGAGAGAGGACAGTTAATCACTGCTTTTCATTTCACCTCCTTCAAACCACAGGGAGCAAACCCTCAGGGTATTCAGGCCACGTCCACAACTGCATCTTGAACACCGATTTGTAAACTTCACCATAAAGTGACTGTGTACACGCACAGAGCTGGGAATTGAAGCTTTGGATTGCTACTGTCAAGTGCCTAAGTCTCCTTCATATGGCTTAAGATGTCTAAGAAAAGCTGAGCATTTCTCAATCAGTATCCCAGGCTCTGTATTGGCATACCTATTGCTCTACTGACACACATGGTAACTTTCTGTCACAGGAAATGCTAAAGACTTCCAAAACAAATGCAGAACGTGCTGCTTGGTTTGGTGGGGTTTTGAGGTTTTTTTGCTTGTTTGTTTTTTAAATCTGTACACCCTCTAACGCTTCACAAATATACCATTACCATTTCTGACAGAAATTCAAGCTTCTGTCAGGCTGCACATTCAGCAGACTTTGGATATGGTATGCTTCTTATGTAAACATTCACCTTTTCAGCCGACCATCCCACACCTGCAACAAAAGCTAAGACCAATGTGCAAAGCCCTCCTGATCCAGGGAAGCCAAAGTAGATGCTGCCAAAAACAGCAAACATGGACAGTCCAAGTACAAAATACGATCTCTTCCATGCCAAAGATGCCTGCAGCCAAGGAAAGAAACAAACAAAAAAGTGAATTTCTTTCAGAAATGGGGGGAAAAGTTATTCCTGTTAATTTTGAAAATAAGTACTTGAAAAGAAAATTAAAAATTAATAATTCTGAAGGAATCAAAACTTCCAAGTGAGACTTGAACTGCTCAGTTGGATTGAAGAATTTTTTGCAGACATTAATTTCTAAGAATAAAAATTTTGAAAATGTAATTTTTTTTCCCTCTGCTCACCCAAGTTCTTATTGCCACTAGGCTATTTTTATCACAAGAAACATGATGCGCTGTTCCAGCAGCTCTGCCTCAACTCTGTGATAGCAGGATTTTCTACCTGTGTAGTCAAGTATTACAACAGTTTATCCAAGGAAAGGCGAAATCTTTGCCACCAGATGTTTTTAAGGACAAGTCAAACATTTGCCAGGAAAAATCTAGTTTTCTTTCATTCAGTCTCACAGCAGACAGTTATCTACCATTGTTCCTCATTTCTTTCTAACTCTTTAGCTCTTGTATCACACTTCTTACATTATTTAATAACAAAATTTGATGCCAATGAGGGCAATAGATGCTCTGAATACTGACTTTGGTAGTCCAGAGTGTATCTACATTCTTCTACAATTTTCTGTTCATTTAATTACCCCTCAAGAGAAAATTCATCTGACACTTTCTATAGATGTAATTTTTATGGAAAGTAACACATTCTAATTAATACTAATGATATGATCAATCACTTTAAGCCTCTAATACATCTGCTTTATTAATTTTTAATCTCAGGCCCACTGGATACATCTTAAAGAAGTACATGTGTCTTGCATCAATCTTATAAATTATTATTTTACTGTCTGAAATGGGTATCAGACGCTTCCTCCATTTCCACTACCTTCAATGACAGCAGGATGGTGAGCTGGATTCCAAACTTCCATCAGGAAAGACAATGAGATCATACATTATTATTGGTGCAGTAAATAAGTAATCACCTTTAAAACACATCCTCACTTGATCGTGATAGGTTTTGCAATCTGGAAGGTGCTAACACTGCAAAAGCTTTCCCCAAAACCAGCTTCACAGGAAGCTGGAAATTAATAACTAAAGAAAAGAATCCCTTAGCAAAGAATCACTTTATTGTAATTTTTAAAAAAATTTTTACCTGATCATGGCTTGGGAAATATCGAACAAACATTCCCAGAATTCCCCCAGCTGCTATGCCAACAGTGACCTCCAGCACTCCACGGAGCACATTGTACAGAGTAGAACCTATTTCACAAAAGGAAAACACATTCAGTAAGCCATCCACAGACGTTCACTCAAACCATGCTCTAGACCTATGAGGGTGATTCCAGGACAGTGTCTGCTTTAAATTACTTGGGGCAAAGGAGTTCAGGAGGGAACCTATGGGCTTGAAGGAACTGGATGGTGCAACTTTCTTTCTCTGAAAGCTCATGCCAAGAAAGTGTGCAAGAGAAGTCAGAGAAAGAGCCACTGTCAGAATATTGCCAAACCCAGTGAAATTTTAAAGCATCATGTTGGGCATGCAGGGCCCAGACTTGGCAGGTAAGGGAGCAGTCAGGGAAAAATGTTCTCTGGAAGTTGTTGTGACCCACAACTCAGAGCTGACCACGTTACATCAACTTTTGAACATGAGTAATTTCCATCTCAGTATTTAAGGCTATACATGAATTTTATAACGAGATGCCATTAAGTTACAAACCAGTCAGCTGTAACAGAGCACACAGTCTCCAAGATATCACTGTTCTGCATTTCATCGTGTACAGATTAACCAGCATACCGGAAGAGAAAGCCATCCCAAGACAAGTGTTGAAGCCTGTGATAGCCAGAATGTCATCGATGCTGCCAGCTGCCATTAGCAAAGTTGGGACACCTTTCTCCACCCCATATCCCCCAGCTTGTAAAATCAGCATGGAGGGAACAACCACAGCAGGGGACACTGCACCTAGAACAAAACTGAAAACACACAGGTTCAGCATCTCAAAAAGAAAGCACTGAACTAAAAAAACTTCCAAATGTTCTGACCTTAATTCTTTTGAAGTATAAATAAGTAGACTTTTATGTAAAGTACTTTCTTAACCTTTCCCCTCTAATTACAAGCAGGGATATTTCTATGCAGATCTGCAATCAGCTCTTACTTTCTGTCCAACTCAGTAACATTAAAAGTAAAGGGTTCCACAGACTAAAACTGGAGTTTCCACTGCAGGCCAGTTATGCTCCCTGATAGACGCCTGGATTGTCCCATTTGGAAACCTGGTCTAGACGTGCTTATGACTCAGCAGCCCAGCTCCTTCTCAGAAAATTCAGCATGTGTCAGAGGAGGAGTCCACCCATCTTGTTCTAGTGTATGGGTCTGGCCCAAGTCTACCAATTTAGATAACAGGACTAGATGGAAAAGTTCTTCTCTTCAAGGATGTTACTCTAAAATATACTATGCCATATCCGTGTCCTTGACTTGTGACAGGAAGGCTGTCCTATGTGCATCTCCGTGTGGAAGTTCTGGATTCCAGTACGAAGATTCTCCAAACTGCGGTATAATTTGCTGTCCCTAAAAGCCCCCTTTGTTGTGGTTCAAGACTCAGGGATTGCACCATTCTTCTTTCTTCAAGTGCTCAGGTTACAAACACAGAAAAATAATGTTGCAAGTACTCCTCCGCAGCCTGAAAATATGACCTTTAAATAAGCCACAGAGCCAGACATAAAGGGTAAGCAGAAGACCAGAGGGGCTGAGCACAGCTTCCCAAATGGCATTGAACTGAGGCCTCTGCTTGGCACAGAGAACTAACCACAGTTGGATCATTGAGCTGCAGCCTGGAAACCAGCACTTTTGTCATACAGGAGAAAAGGCAGTACATTACCCTAATATAAATCCCCATTGCCATGGCAAATGCAGGAACAAGTAGGCAAGGACAGCAGCTGTGCCTGTTTCTGAGAGGCACGGTCCGAAAGCAAGCCGTAAACAGACAGCTTTGAGCTTCTTAAGAGCCTGCAATTATACAATAGTGTCAGTACCTTTGGCTTCACAGAGGCAAAACATTTACAATCTGATGTGGCTTGTTAAAGAATCCTGTCTGAGCTGCACTATAGGACATGACATGGCCTAAACTAGAGAGAAGCCCAAGCCCAGCCGGATTTGGATACAAAATTTCAAGTGTGGCAGTGAATCTAGGTTTAATAAGGTTCCTGAATGTCACAGGAAGGAGTAACAGAAATTTCTGTTTGGCTTCTTGTCATTTGCTCCATCCATAAAAGATTTTACTATAATCCCAGAAGTTGCATGAGCAACCCCCCAAATCGCCCCAAAATCTATGAACAAATCATGAAAAGCTGTAGAACTACATCAACTTGGCACAAGGAGCCAAGCATCTTTCAGCTGTCTCTCATGTGATATTTAGAGATTAAGCTCCTTTTGGCTCAGCAACTTTTAAAAAAATTTCCTAAACTGGCATATTTGCTTCTAACAGCTATCTTTAATAGCTAGTCACAAACATGAGTCTGCTAGGACAGGTCCTTAATTTTGACATGAAATTTAAAAAAAAAAGAAATAAAAATCAGCGAGTTCCACTTTTTACCAGTCCAGTTTATCCCAGCATAATCAGGACTGACTTCTTTGTTTTCAGAGTTTCAATTACATGAGGAACAACTGTAACTGCATCAAAGCATTGCCACACACAGAGTCCAAGTGACAGTTTTCTTACCACATGGAAGAAAAAGAAGTCAAAAATGAAGTTCCCTCAGCAAAAAAAAGTTGTTATGAATAGAAAGAAATGCAGTCTCACAGAACTTGGGCTGTCCAGGCTGTGTCTAAAAACACACAGTTCATGCTCATACAAGCCTCAATGTCTTGGAAAATAAAATGATGACAATATAGGAAAACAGGTATTTTTCAATATTGACAAAACCTTATTTTCCTAAGTAACTGCAGCATTGGCAACTCTGTAGTTTTTCTTGGTTAAGAGAAATGAGTTTACCCATACTTTATCTAAGTTTTATACAAACTCTGAGTGGTTTCTTCAACAGGGAGGGGCCAGTATGGTACAGCTTTACTTCAGCCAGCTCATTTTGAATAAGCAAAACCGTGCCTTCACCAGTTGATGAAGTATCATGTTTGTTAGGGTGCAGAGACTATTTTTTGTTCACAGGACTGCTATGGGCTTCACTGTGATGAGAATCATTGTTTCAGTAGTGCAGCAGGATTGATCTTTGCAATTAACATATTTGCATTAAAATGGCAATTAAAAAAAAAGTAAAAAAAGTACCACAGGGTTTACACTTCTTTGCTTGGTTGGGATTTTTGCATTTCTGGCCACACAAAAACATTCTCTTTCAAGGACTGGGGATCCCTTGCATTGCTTCAGATTTTGAGTATAAACTAACAGGGAGTTTGTCAGGGAGAGTAAAGTCTTCCTGACAGACCATGACAGTGCACACATCCTCAGTATGTCCCACTCACAAAATTCAGGAAAATAAAATAATCATAAAATCAGTTTTCTTCAGGTTTTTTTTTTTTTTGATTGCTTGCCTACTTTACAAATCCAACTGCCAATATTAACATACATATAATTATACAACAGAAATTATGCTTTCTGTAATGATCTAATTTGCAGATGCTCCAAGACGGAGCAGTTCAATATTCTTAATGGAACCAATTATTCAATTTTTTTTTTGATTGCTGTTATATAGTCTGCCACACACAAATGGCTGGTGCCATACCTTTGGATCCAGGCCAAGTCCTGCTCGGGTCAAGATAATGGAAAGAGCAATATTCCTCAGTGCTGCAGACCAGCGTAGGTTTATCTGGACAAAGTCACTGATGAATGGGGTATTTCGGATTAGGAAACCAGCAAGTAGCATCCCTTAAGTCAAAACAAACAAGCTCCTGTCAAATGATTTGCTTTTTTTGCACAAGAAAAGCACTCTTAAAAACAGACACCATATCATGTTTTCATAAGAGAAAAAATAAACAATTTGTATTCCAAATTATTAGCCATATTTTAACAATGGGACGGAGGCATGAGAAGAGATAAACATATTTAAAGCAGTGAAAGTAGCCTCAGAACACAGCAGGTCACCAATGAATAAATCAGCAGGATGCTGATACACAGCTTTAGTCTGAGTCAAAAGAACTCAGCCTCGCGTACCAGCTGCAGGTCATATTTACCATAAGCAGACACCTCTGCATTCTTAGAGATTTTTTTCCTGTTAGCTTCTTTTAATACAAAAATAGGAAGATCATCTAATATTGTGTATTTATCTCAGAAGTTGGGAATTGTTAAAAATCCTCTTAGGTGCAAGAATGCAGGTATCACAGGAACCATAATGCTGCATTCATTAGGAAATATAATCTAAACCAGCTCATCATGGACTAACTTAAACATTTTCAAGTGGTCTAGCAATGAGACTCTTACACAAAGAGGGGACAAAAAAGAGAAGGGAAATCAGAAACTTTGCTTTATCCTCTATTTGAGCTACTTTCAAGATACAGCATGTTACAAATATTAGTAAAGCTGTCCAAGCAGAGACTTCCTGCAAAGGTATCAAAGCCACAGCTCTGGAAGGATATGGAAAAGTACTGGAAAAGCTGAGTTTAAATATGGATCTGCAGAGGATTGATTGTGAGTCCTGATGATTCAAAGATAGATTTTTGTGGCATAATTTTATATTAGTCATGTTTAGAAACAGGAAACAAAAAAAGACAAAAAGTAAACAAATCACTGTAGTCAGGTTGGTCCCAGCTCAGTGTGAGCCTTGACTGTGAACTTGATTTGTCCTGGGACACTCTAAACTTTCCAGACATTGTTCTTTCCACCACCTCTTGGAAAAAACCAGTGTCATAATTAATTTGTGGTACCTCATGACAATTGTATGAGACTGGCATTGTGATCACATGCTCTTTGCAACATTTGCATGAGGTCCAAGTCACTGGACCTACCCCGATCTGGGAATCTACTTAACAAAGCAAAAAATCTCCACCTCAAAGGACACCTTAACTGATTTGCTCCATTATTCCTGCTGCAGAAATCTCTCTGCAACATGCATCTAAAATATATTATTGGTTGTTTCAGTACCAATTTCACTCCTTTTTTCCTGAGAGAGGCTCACAATACGGTGCTTAAGTGCTCAGCCAGCCACCTTACACTGGACCTAGCAAAAGTGGGTTATAGGCATGTAAGAGCACATGGTTTGAATTTTTAATGTAAAAGCAGAATATTCACAGACATTGTCTGTCTCATCTTCTGAGTCATAGATTTCTCCAGTTTTCCTCAAAGACTGGGGACTGGAACAATGAACTCTGTCCTAAACAACGCAAGAGACATGTGCTGTCATGCTGAAGTTTCTGTTGTCCAGTATTACCTGTCTGACAAGCAGTTTCATGCTCAACTCATAACTTTCAGATACAGATGTAATTAAAAAACTCTCAAACAAGCATAACCCAAATGGTCAGAAATACTTTTATTTGTTTAAGAGGGTGTTTACTTAGAAAGGGCAGACTCCTTGCATGTGATATTCTGTGTTCATACTGCAGGTATGCATGCCATATGCAAAACCTCCCTCCCTCTCATTTGAATTTTTTTTCCTCTGGTGAAACTAAGCAGCACAAGAGCGCACAGGCTGCATGGACAGAGCCGTGTGTGGAGCTCCTGCGTGAGGCACAACGCCAGATGTGCAGGTACAGAGTCACGCCTGGCCCACCTCACCAAGCAGTTTTACTGTCTGTCAGCAGCTATACTCATCTGTGCACTAAACACAGCAAGGGGACAGCATACAGCTGCTGAGAAGAACCTGGAGCTTCATTTCCAGCTTCACTGACATTACAGCGCTTCAAAATACTGTACTCATCTAAGCAAGTATAAAAACTCCTCTAGGAAAGAAGCCAGAAAAGATTTTAAAGATGTCAGGATTAACGTTATTTTCATCTCCCATTTCTATTTTCATTTCTATGTAAGATAAAATAAGATGCTGATGTGAAAAAAAAAGTTGTGATTGAATCAGAATAACTCTTTGCAGAAGAATTATTCCTTGTTGTGAATTTATTTTCTCAGGTTTCAATTGTCTTTAGATAAAGGAAGGAGAAGAAAGAAATCCTTTGGACTATGAGTAGTAGGGAATTGCTGTAATGTTTTCTTTGGAAAACACTTTCATTGTATGAGACACTAAAGAAACAGCTCAGCAACAATTTTGCAAAGAGATTACTGTAAAATGATATCTGGATTAAGATTCCTGTTTGCTATTATTAAACCCAAACTTTAAGTAACTGTGACAGAAGGGTCTGAAGGACAATAAACTTTGAATCTGTATGCAAACAATCCTCTGACCCACAAAGAATTAAGATGTTAATTTCACCTGAGCCAGTCTGGGCAATTTTGCACCTTTTTAGAGAGGACCAGAAAAAGTCATTTGGAAAAGCTACAGATTTTGAATGTGACAGTTTATTTGTTCCCAATCCAAACACATCCACCCATACAGATACTACTTGATGGTTTAAACAATACAAAATATGCAGGAAGGAAAGAAGGAAGGATCTCTTACCCAGAAGAGCAGGGAGAGGGGGCAGTGTTCGTATTTTAATGAATCCAAAAATTTTACCTCCGATGACAGCAAAGAAATAAAGAAACAGAATTCCAAAGAGATTTCCACCTGGGAGACACTCAGCCCCACTTATGGACCACACCACAGCCCAAACCAGAACGACAAATGCAACTGGAACAAAACAAAAAATAATTAACATTTAATCATCTCTCAGCAACCACTTTGCTGTTAGGTCACATTTGTTTTGCTATTGAAGAAAAACGTTAGTCATGACTTGTAGAAATGAAATTACTTACCTTAAAAATTAATTTAATCATAACAATGCAGTTAATCTTTCATGGTCCCTAAACTGATGTTCTGATTTTATACATGCTAAAATACTTTAAAATTGGTAACACAAACATCATGAAACAAAAATAAATTTAGTGAGCCTTGGTCTGCTGTGAAAAGCACTTCCTTGGTTCCAAACTTAAAGCAAAGACTTTCACTAACTTATCTTGCATTTGCTTATCTTCCTTCAGCTACTTCAGAACCACAGTAAAATCTACTGTTGAACAGCGTGGCTGTATCTTCAAACTGATGAGTGCAGCTCCAGTCTAATTTCTAAAATAACTGAAGTGTAATTTTTTGGCTGAATGTGTTTGTGCAATATGTTCACAATTGAAATTGTGCAATTGTGATCCCTGGGAAGAAAATTCTGAAGAGGGTCATGTCTCTGGACATCTGGAGTACAAATACTTCCCTTGATACAGCAATCAAAGAAGGATAATACAGAGGAGGAAAAAAATCCTGAAAAATATTATGAGAACAGTGTGTGAAAATATTATAAAATATGTGAAAACATTAGGCTCTTTCAAGGTTCACAAATCTGTTCCAACGGTTGCCCAATGAGAACAGGCATGCATACATATAAAACAGAAGACTGAAGGAGAATAAAAAATGTTTTGAATAAATGTCCTTCGTTTTCAGATTGGAGTTTTCTTAATCCTACTTGAGGGTGACAGGTGGCAAAGGAAGACCAGCAGATTTCCAAACAGAAAAGCCTAAGAATTCCAAGTGGCCGTGGAAGCAATCAAAGACACATGAAATTTCTTTTGTTAGGAAAAACCTTAAATAATTGGCTAGCCAGGCATCTCTTTTGGGAGTTTTCAGTTTAGAACAAATTCTAAACAAAATAGATCAGTTTGCCTTGTAGTGAGGACTCTTTGCTTTGCAAGCCTGTAGTACTAAGGACAAACTATCAAGACAAAAATTAGAACGTCTTTCTTGTGATAAAAATAGTTTGCAGTGCAAAAACATACCTCCCATAGTAAACATATGAGACTGGAGAAACAAAAACTGTACATTCAATCCTTTGTCTCATCTTATTTTTTTTCCTCTGGCTAAAACATTCAAACAATGCTGTGGTAAGTAAAACACAGCTATTTCCATTCATTATTTTCAAGGACAGTCGACAGATATCATCCCATTCAGAGAAACAAGTACTTCTTTTGCCATTTCTCTTTTTAATTAAACTCTGTCCCTCTTACCTACCATTTGTCACTGTTTGGGCCAGTAAACCCTGAGGAGGACAAGCAAATATTTGCCTCCATGTTCTCGCAGGTACTGAAGACCCTGCTGTTGGCTCTGGAGGTTGTTGAGCGCAGTGGTTCAAGAGAGCAGTTTCTTCTGTTTGTGCATTCCCATCAGTACCTTTGGCACCTGCTGCTGGTCCCTGCTGAAGGCAAACAAGGAGACTCCCTCAGAAGTGGCACTTTGTATTTGAAGTAGTGTGCACCACCTGAAGTCAGCTGAGATGCACTGGATCCCCACCGGCTACAGGTGACCACATTAACTGAACAACCACTACAGGAATGTCCAGCTTTGAGATAATTTTTGGCCCTTTTGGCCCTGTGTTTGTTTTTTGTGTGGCACCAAGAATTGCATGTGAGAAACTGCAGGACATTTGCCTTTTTATCTGCACCTGACAGGGCTCCTGTCCCAATAGATATAGCACCGGTGCAGTAACAATATTTGCATATTTGATGAAGAAACAAAAATAGCAGGCCAGGCTGAGCTTGTCTTGTGTACATAACTAAACATTTATTAGTATTTTCTACAATTTGATAAAGTTCTGCTTCCAGACTGGATTTCACAATAGAATTAATGATTAGCATCATTCCACTGAGATGGTACTTATTTAATATAACTCCTTAATAACTACTGTTGCAAAGCCTTGAACCAAAATAACAAAACAAAGATGAAAGAAACAGCAGAGCTGGCCAGCACAAACCTTACTCACATGATCCATTGCTGGAAGGCTCAAGCTGGTAAGTCAAAGTAGAGATGGAGAAAAACTATAACTGGGAGTCATTCCCTTGAAGGTGTTCTCTTATACTTGTACATCTACTTATTCATATTCATAAACAAAGCACTTTTTGACCATTTTTGGATATGTCTCACTTAATTTTAGCATTATTTTTGACAAGTTAATCATCTGCCTTCCGTATGATTATTCATGTCAGCATATTGTCATACTGTAGACATGGAATTCTGCTTATAATGTGGTTTGGCCCTTCTCCAGTAATAGTTCCACATTTCTGATTACTTTTCAGTCTCTTCCTCCTCTCTCTCTCTATATATATATATATATTCCTTACTCAGAGTCATGACTGGAACACAAATCCTGTGAGCTTACAGCATGGAGTTACTTGTTTACCCCATGATTCTGTGATCGCCATGTACATAAAAATGTGCCCTATAAACATCTATATGAGATGCACTCAATACCATATGCTTACTTTTAAGTGCCTTTTACATTAAGAATTTTAATTTTAAAAAAGGAAAAAAGGAACAGGAGGGTTCTCTCTGACTAGAATGATACTTTGGGATCCTAGTTAATTACCTCGCTTTGCTCATGCATGGGAATCATGCCATTTCTCTCACATACTGATGGTTCAGAATCTTCACTGTCATTTACATCTTCCCTTACCATCGCTGCAAACCTGAAGAAAGAAATAAAGGTGGAAAAGTTAAGGAGAAGCAAATAAACACTGTTTTCCGAATGGAAGACTTCTCAGTGATGTCTTTTCTCCACAGACCATGTGTAAAAATCCTCTCAGCCCAATTTCAAGTTTAAAGTTTTCTGTGTCCCTCTGTATGCTGTACCTAAGAGACAGAAACTAACCGAAGCACAGTATAAAGCTTAGAAATTCAAGGACAAAAAAAAAAAAAAAATCTTGAGTTTTAGAATCACAGTTGTCTAAGCTAACCTCTTCATTCCTTTTTAAAACTATGGCTGTAATCTTTCTCTATTTGTGCCTCCTTTCAGCACATAAAAAAGGTTATTTGCTATCAGCACCACTTAGCAGGATCATTAGCTCTAAAGTGTCACAGGTCCTGTGTACATTTCAGTGCAAGTGACTCTGCAATAAAGTTAGAACAACTATAGTTTCTAAAACTCTAAGAGGTTTCTAAAACTTCAGGAGGGGACTCTTTGCCCCAACTTAAGCCTGACTGATCCAGTTTGATTTTCAGAGGAATTTCAACAATGTGTTTTCTCTAGATGCTACTAGTTAGATACTCAGTCAATGTGTTCGTAAGAAAGTGAAGATGCCTGTTTGAATAAAGATCAGGACTCTTCACAGCTTGCAGCCTGATTAAACATGGCTCTTTTCTTACTGATTATATCCCATGGAGGTACTTCTCAGACTGGGAAGTAAGATCCAAGTAATTTGTGGATAGTTATCATTGTATTTGCTCAACTCTAACTGGTCCGCTACTTGTCCCATAGATTCTAACAAGAGATATGGCAGTACACTGTTTTGTATGTCAGGTATTTTTTGGTGCACATATTTATTGTAGTTTCACAAGTGTGAGCTATCAAGGGGGGAGGCATAAATCTGGATACAAGGCTTGACAGTGTTCTCTCTTACAGCAAAAGCTGGCATACATTCTCCATCAGCTAAATTTTTTTCAGTCTTTTACACTGCTCTGGGCATATAAAACACCAGGGAAGAAAAGCCAGAACTTCTGAGCCAAGAAATTCCTTCCTTGTTAGATGGTTGGAAGTAAGTCAGAGCTGATGCTCACAATTATCATGCTTCGAGTTTAAAATGAAATATTTGATATTTGGGAAAGGCTGATACCATAAAGAAAAGGGCCATTCTAACACCTATGAGGTTTTGTTTGAGCTGTTCTGATATGAAACTGGCCTGAGCCATGACCAAGGCACAGCTGTAGAATACAGAGCTATAAGTAAACACTTTCAGTGTGTTATAAGTTAATAGTTTTGCTTTTTTTCCCTTTCCTATTTAAAGGTGAAGTGTTTATTTACTCAATTTTCATTACTTTTCTGTATTTTCAATTAGTACTTGCAGAACCAAATAGTTGTGCTTTTAGGGTTTTAGGTTTTTTAATAACATTGGTGATACTTTTGATTTGGTTTTCTTCCATCCTTTCATTGGGACTGGGAATTCACAAATGCCAATCCTCCTAACTGGAATAGAAAGCATCAGCAACCTACCAACGTCTCCCTCCTTCCCTTCACTGACCACTTTCCCAGGGTGCATTTATGTACTTAATTTTGCACTTGGTTTGTGTGCAAGGACAGAAGGACATTGTTCTTCATCCAGCTTCGTAAAGGCAACATCCCAGATCAGTCACATAGCTGTTGACACAAAATTAATTAAAACTTCTAAGAGTTAATTAATTAATTAATACTTCTGAGAAGGGCAAGTACACCTCACCACAGCTTCAGCTCCTGAAAGTGCTGTTCACAGCAGCGTGTGGGACAGGCAAGATGGACTAAGCAGGGATACTGAATATTCTGTTTAACAGGAAAGGTTTCAGGGAGTGAATGACGGATCTGACAGTGCTGTCCTTATCTGGTTTGTGCCAGGTCTTCACCCTGCTGGCAGCGTCAAGAACCTGCTTCCAAGAACTCTCCTTTGGATCTACGGGACCAAAATGAGTAGTTACTTACGCCATCATGGGTCTTTTGGAAGTTCACAGGTTTTGTGTTATTTTGGGGGGAGCGGGGTTGTTTTCCCTTTTCAATTTTATCTCCTATGCCAACAAAAATCAGTGATTGAGAAATCACCGAGACAAATTTATACCTCAGGGTTAAGGCCCATCCCACGGAAACCAGCCAGTAACAGACCTATTTTAGTACCTCCCTGTAAAATACACTTTTCTCCTTTGGAGAGCAGAAAGGCTTGCATTAGATCCTCTCGTTCCGGTGGTTTTTGAACGGCAGTGAGGGAGAGCTGAGTGGCAGGGACAGCACGGCATGAGGCGACTCTCAGCGCTCTGCTTTGCACACAGAAGGCACAGAACGCCATGCAGACGAAACACCACAAACCCCACCGCAGCAACTGGCACTCAGAATAAACAACGATTAAAACACCCAAACCATCAATACCCACAAAAAGGCGCCAAGTAAACCCGGGAGCAGCCTCCTGCCTGCCCAGCCGGCTCTCCGTTCCCACCCCGGTCACTCCTCCTGCTGCAGGGGATGCGGGGGCAGCGATTCAAGAGGGGCACAGAACTCACCTGCGGCTTACCCCGGCGGGGCCCACAGGCACGGACCCGCTCCCCGCGCAGCCCCGAGCGGGGCCAGCCCGCTGCACGGCTCCGGCTCCGGCTGCTCCTCCCCCGCTGCTGCTGCTGGCGCAACAGGCCCTCCTCCTCCGCTGCCACAGCTCCGCCGGGCCAGCGGCTGCGGCTGCGGGTGCCCCGAAGGGCTCCCCGCAGGCCTCGCTGAACGGGTCACCGCGGGAAAGGCGGCAGGAGACGGGCCACGGTCCGAGCTGTCAGCTTGGTGAGAGCGATGGGAGCAGTCCTGAGCCCATCCAAGGCTTGGATACCCGTCAGGGCACCCAGGAGGAGGATTTTTGTCTCTTTCGTAGCCAGTCACCCGTGACATTCACTGCATCTTTCTGTGCTGCCGTTCCCATGGCTGTGGGAAGATGCATAGGGAAGCTACACGCCATCCTTAACCCAGACTACAGCACTGGAGAAATTGGAGATGAGGTGCAAGGAAAGGGTGAGGAGCTGTTGCTGATTCTGCTCTGGGTGCACACAGACAAAACACACTGGGGCAGGCAGGAGAATTTTTAAAAAAACAAATCCAACCAACCAATCCCCAAAACCACCCCAAAACAAACACAATTTGCATATTTATGTTGTTCCCATCCCGACTTGATAAAGCAAGTCATCCACCTAATTTGTAAGTGCACGTGAGGTAACGAGACAGATCTTTTTCTCAGCCCTAAATTTGCCAGCTGCACTGAGTCCATGTGAAAGCAAAGTCAAATGCCACATATGCTTTGCTCCTGGTGTCATCACACAGAACTAAACTGACTACAAATCCAAAGGAAAATGAAATAATTTTTTGATCAGATTAAATTTTTCAGAAGGACTCGGAATCAGGGAAGTCTATTCCTCTCTCCCCCACAAGAGAAAACTTTGACCTAGAATCTGAAAAGTCAAAAAGCCTCTTTATATTATCATTGGGGTGAAAGGAAAACAAAGAGAATTACCCAGTTCCATTAAAAACAGACCATGGAATTAGGTCATGAGAGCATTAAGAAGCATTTTCCTTCAAGTCTGCTGAAAAACCTCATGACATTGGAACACATTTCAGAGTTGCAACTGTTAACACCTCCATGAAAAGCACTGCTAATAAGGCAAGAGGCAGCAAACTCTGCTGATTTTTACTTTTCTTGTCCACCAGATATTTGGTCTACCACTAAAAAATGCTCTTTGTGCCTTTAATGCTATTTAAAGGCAAGTGGTACTTATTTTCTTGCACAAGTGCTTTGACAACAACAGCAGCAGCCGTTTTTGAGCAGCAGCTCTACTAAGTGAGTTAAAGGTTAAGTAATGATGGGCAATGTGTAATAAGTATAATGATTTTTCTCTCAGATTCTTAATTGTATTTTCAGAATACACAGTACATGTTCCCTGTGTTACTGAAGCGGGGAAATTTTCCCTTTTCAAGGTAAGCCTTCTGCACCTACTACAAAAGGAGGACTTTGGCCTTCATATTGAACTCTGAAACCATTGAAATAATGTTCTGCCAGCCTCAATTTTTTGATATTTGAATTTATGTCAGTGAACATTTTTGGAGCTATTTTGGATAACTATGGATTTGTGGCCCAGCTTGATCCTGCTTGGCTGCCAGGGTCTCTTGATTGAAATATTAGATTCTCTAAAACCCCATAAACAAACTACACAAGGTCAGAATGCTCCAACCATGATTAAAGGTAAACGTTAAGCCCATAATGAGCCCAATGAAGTCAACAGCCACAATAGTTTTTTCATTTGTAAAATCTTGATTTACATACAATTATTTTAAAATAAGAGGCCAGATTTTAACTAGATGCATTTCATTATCTTGAAATCAACTAAGTTATATTAATGCTTTAGGTGATACTGAAAAGCTTAAGCAATTATTTTATAAACATATAAAATATGTTGTTAACACACACACACAATATTGTACATTTTTCCTGTGCTTTGATTACTGATGAATCATATTCAATAGCATTTAGTCCTTAATTCCTCCCTCACATATATATGTATATAATGTATATGAAGATATGTATTAAATTACATAGAGTTCCATTTATGAACTAGATAAATGGAGCTGTGTTAAAGGTAACCATATTTATAGGCAGCCAGACCATGTAATTCATGTTGGTTTCAAGCAGTATGTTAGCAAAACAAATGCTTTGTGAATTCTGGTTATTCATTGCCCTACATCTCTGGGTCAGGACCTATGTTTTTTCCCAGAGTATGAAACTTGACAATAATATGTTTCTATTTCATGAATCAAAGCAACCATATTGTGCTATCACAATAAAAAACATCAGCACATATTCTTGATTTTTGTAGAAGCAGTCCTTTTCAGAGAAATTTTCCTTGTGCTTTAGTGTGAGCTGTATTGGTACTTGAGAATAAGGCATAGAGCACCAAAGTGCAGCACCTAGCAACACATTTTACAGAATTTGTCCAATATTAGTACATCATTTTGGAGACAAAAATATTGGGCTCTATCTAGAGTGGTAAAACCCATTCCTTTTGCTTTTGTGCTACAAGTCAAGCATATTCATGAAGATTCACCCATGTGTTTAAGAATACTCCTCTCACATATACCCCCATCCATACCTGCTAGAGTATTGCCCGTGCATAATTGTTCCTGTACATGAAAATCTAATTGTGAGTATTTAATTTCCAAATACCTTGTAAGATGAGAATAAAGATAATAGTTAATTTCTTTCACTCAAATTTTGCTTAAAACACAACATAGATTTTGTAATGTGACTAATACTTTTGGCCTCCTGAAATCTTAAAACATTAAACTGCTGTTCTTTCATGTTTTTGGAGTTGCTATAAATTGAAGCCACATGAAGTATGTTTTACTCCAGTGTTTCTCTATTTAAGGAAAAGTTAATCAGTAAGATCAATCTAGAGAGAGCAGCAAATTTGTTTGGAAAGCCATCACATGCATGATCTCAATCTTTGCAAGAAACACCATCCTAATTTTTTGCCCATCATAGTATGAATTTCTGTTTGCAGGTAGAGTCAATCACAAGCTCCATCCTCCATCGATGATTAGTTCATTACCAGTCACATAGGCAGACTGAAATTACATAAAATAAACAATGTTTCAAATATTTTTTCTCAGCTATTAATTACAGGAAAACACTTTTTCTTAAATTAAAAAATATGCTGTCTTTTTATACACTTTTTTTTTGTTTTACAAAAATACCTGAGTAAGTAATATAATATCTAAATAGAGACAAACATAGAAATTGAAGCCTTTTACTTAATTCAAGGAAGTGTGGCAAAAGTATTACTAGAGGCATTAAGATGAGAATGCATCCTGAGAGTACAAATTTACAAAAGCTAGACTTTAGATATCTTACCTGCAGGAGTAAATACCTCACACTGTGATGTTATTAGGTCTGTTCAGCTGAGCAGAATCTGACCAGGTCAGCCAATTATTATAACGAGACCTAACTAGAAACTTAGATTATATGGATAGTGGGGTAAGCAACTGAGCTGTTGACATTCTTCCCTATGTCACTGCTGAATATATTGAAAAAATGGAATTGTTTACACACCATTGAAAACCCGGTGAGCAGACTGGAAAAAATTATTAGCATTATGGAAATACTAAAACCAAGATGAAACTGAGAAACAGACTACTGATAGATAGCAACATTAATACTGAGCTAAATCCACTAAAGTATTTTGACATGGACATTAGGACTGCTGGACACGTCCAGAAAAATCCAGTCTAGTTTTTAGCCTCAGTAAATGTGTAACAGCTGAAATAACGTTGGTGTGTGCTCGTTAGTGTTGGTGCTGTTTGCAGTGGTCTTCAGGAGTCTGGTGTGTAACAACCACAGTGAGTCTGTTGTTTTCCTTATGTTGGGATAGCAGATTCCCCCTGAGCATTAGCTAAAATGTCCAGTAGCTCTACTAATTCTGCCTCCTTAAAGCATGATCTAGCCATGGTGCAAGCTTGGTAAAGCTGACAAGCTCATTTTGTTCACTATTCAGGATGACCTGGGGTCAGTCAATTTGCTTGGGTGACATGAAACCACCAGGCTGTGGCAAGCAAATACATAATGCCTTGCAATCACTGTCAACATTCAGAATACCTTTCGTATTGCAGGATGAACTCAGTTAGAACATAGTTTGGTTTTAATTTTTGTAATAGTCCAGCTCAAAGAGAATGCAAATTATCCTGAAACAAATACCCTCTCTACTGTGAAGCACCAAAGTAGCATGGGATTCTGTGTCAGGACATTTTATTGTCTATACTTACTTCATCAGAGGCCAAGTACACAAAGAGATGGGCCACTTCTTCCGCAGTAGCCATCCTGCCAGTCTTCTGTCTGGCCAGAAAGTCCTTCAATGCCTGGATATACAAGAGCACTTGATTTACCAGAAATATAAAACCAGTTATTTTTACCTATTGACAACTACAAACCAATATTGGAAACAGGCCTCTAGTCATAACTTCCTTTAGTGCACTAAGTAGGGAATTAAAGCTGGAAAAACAGAAAACCAACACGAATGTGGATTTTGGGTTGAAAAAAATTACATGACTTTTAGAAAGCAGCTAAATCTCTGGTTCCAGAATAAAGCCAACATAAAATCCTTCTTCCTCTGGTGGTAGATATTCCCATGTCCTTCAAATGAGAACTTGCCATTATCCAATAAGGATGGTTAAGCATCCCAAATAATCTGGAAATGCATAGGCCAGAATGCTCTGTCTGTACTGTTTTTACACTACCTTGTGGCTGACACATGCCACAATAGAAGATGTCCTCTGCTTTTGCACTGGACACTGTAACCAACACTTGGAGTTGCTTCCAAGTGGATGAGAGTCCCTCTGCATTCTCTAAGCAATATTATCCTTCTGAGGCTTCAGTTCTGGTCTGGCCATAAGGCTTCTGTCTCGAGTTCAAGCTGACCACACTTTCAAAGGAGACAGCAATGTTAAGTTATCCACAGTACTCTGAAATTGAGGACATGCTTGAATATGGGCAGAAGTGCAGCTATATACTCTTTTTTAAAAGAGAGTTAAACATACGACCAAGCTAATAAATTGCTTTCTCACCTGTTCTGGGTTAGGCCGGGCTTGGATTCTTT